TTCCTTCCTTCCTTCCTTCCTTCCTTCCTTCCTTCCTCCCTCCCTCCCTCCCTCCCCTCTCAGTCTACTTTGCTCCCATCCTTCCAAAATGTGGGTCAGTTGATATTCTAGCAAGAAGGGTGGAGGAAAGAAAGATGGAGTTGAGAAGAAAGGAACCAAAGGAATGGTCCTGGGTCACAACCAAGTTGAGGTTGATTGCAAGTTTGGGAAGCAGTGCTTGGGTTCGTATGTTGTCCTATAGACAGCTTTGCTCAGCTGTCAGCCACAATTGGTGTCCTTCACATGTCAACCTAAGCTGTAAACCTTGATTTACAAGCCCTTTGATGTTGGCTTTGTACAACCAGCCCCAGTAAAACCCAAGAAAACACAATTTAGATTAGCATGTGGCATGAATTCTACTAGTGGGAGACAACGGCTGGTGTTTTTTGGCATCTCTGCTTTGCTTCCATGGAGAAGGCCCATTGATACATCACTTGTGGAAGGTCCCAAGTCTTCCATTCAAGAGACCATTGCCCTCTTGAGAAGTCCACCAGCTGAAGTAGTCCAGGGTGGCTTGGAAAAGCTTCAGAGAGTAATTTGGCTCTGTGGATTGAAGCTTTGGCTCTTGGAAAAGGATTTGGCTCTTGGAAAAGCTTCAAATGTAATTTGGCCCTGTGGATTGAAGTTTGGGTCCAAATGCTGTCATTTCAACCTGACATCTTAGAGCTGGGTCAGGTGACCTTCCCAGCTTCCAAGCCTATGTTGAGAACCATCTGGGCAAAGCTGCCCTTGGGTACAGGAGGGTGACCTCTCTCCATTGGCACCAGCGCACAGCGGAATCGATCCTTTGGCGACCCACCGGGACCAACACTGCAGACAAAGAGGGGGATCTTCTACAGAACGTGACTTCTCTGTTCCACCAAATCCCCCTCTTGTAAACTCCAGAATGGGCATTGCCTTGAAACGCAGCTTCGGTTACAGCTGGCCAGTTCGGGGCCTGATCAGAGAGCTGCGTCGGCCATCCACACAACGCCTCTGACGCAAAAGCGTTACCGGAGACGCTCGTCCCCAGCTGAGCTTTAAATGACTTTTTCATTTTCCTGGACCCGCCGCCCCGTCTGTTTGGTATTCTCAGGCCGCCTTGCTGATGCGTTCTCATTCTGCTCGAGCCGAATTACTAGATTAAAACGCATATCAACGATTACGCTCTCTCTCTCTCTCTCTCTCTCTCTCTATATATATATATATATATATTTTTTTTTTTTCTGCAGCTCCAGGTTTCACGCCGTGCGAAACCTTAAACTATGTTAAACTGTAATCAGAACTGCCTGAAGGGTGGGAGTGGGAGACAGGAAGGACAGGTTGGAACAGAAGAAACTGAAATAAATCACAACCAATTCATTCTTTGTTGGGTAGATTCAGGGCAGATGGAGGAGACTAGGATACAACGCAGTGCCTTGCCAGTTAAAAAATACGCGTCGGGTAGAGTAGTTTTTATTTTGCAGAATATTATTCTGTCCAGACCCCCGCTTTGTTTCTCTTGCGGTGGTTGGAAGCTCTTTGGAAGTCAGTTTAAGAAGGATGCGTTTGCATTTTGGGGCATTTATTAGCTATCTCGATGTGCTTCTTTGAAGAAATGCAAGCCGATCGATCGGGAGGTTACCTGGGACGGCACAAAACACGGGCTGTTTTTCATCGGCTGTCCCAATAGCAGGGAGGAGGAGGAGGATTCATCCTGTGTTTACAGGGCAGGAAACACCGATGGCAGTTGTGTTGTCCAACAGTGTCGAAAGATTCCTCATTAAGGGCTGTCTGCCCAGAATCAGCAACTCTTGCCACCAGCTGTTCCAGCAGCAGCAGCAGCTTCTCCTCGTGTCCTCTCACCAATTGCAACTCCCAGAATCTGCAGCCGGCGCGGCTGCTTTGACCGGGAATTTGGCAAGCATGCTTCAGGTTGGAGCTGAACTCTGCGCTGAATTCTCGGGGGAAAGAATTAGAAATATCCAGATGGGACCAGGAGAGACGGGCGAGGGGAAAGGGAGAGCGGGCGACCAGGCTGTCTCCAATCTGCCTCCGAATACGCAGGCAATCCAGGTTCTCTCTTAATGAATGCGCCTCCATGTCCAGCCAGACTAGCAAATCCTTCCAGGCTGCTGAAGGGTTCTTGAGGTCCTCGGTGCTCCTGGAGGGTTTGTGCAAAGTTGGAGGGTCTCACCGTGGCCAATTTCTGCCTAATCCTGTTGATTAATTTAACTTTAAGGGTCCCTCTGAAGTGAGGAAAGCGTTGCATGGAGGGGAACAGAGGGAAGGCGGATGGGAAAACCTCTTCCTTCTCGTGTGGGGGGGTAGATCCCGGGAGGAAATTGCATTCTGGAGTAGCTCTGGAATACCTTTCATCAACCCAACCAGAGTGAGGGGAACAATCCAGATGGAGCCGTTCGTGGTCAAGACTTTGGAAGAGAGACCCATGGCTTTTGGTAAACCTACTCCAAGTAGGACCAAGTTCTGGGTCCTCTCCACCTCTCAGCTGGGTTCAGACAGCCAAGAAGCTTGATGATTAGCGTTGCTGTAGCCGAATGTGCCGTGCAAATACTTTGGATTCGTTGATGGACCCAGATCTTGGTCAAACCCAGAACGTGAGCCTCTTTGGTGTCCTGGTCAAAGGCCCTGTTGTGTCAATGGGACACACCCATTGAGTCCAGTCTCTTGGAAAATACAGTGCTGTCTCTCTTCTGAGCCCAACCTACCTCACGGGGATGTTGTGGGGCTCAGAGGAGGCAGGACCCCCCTATACGCTGCCTTGACCTTTGTGAGGAAATAGACATACAGTAATAAATGAAATACAAAATGGTCTCTTTCATCTAGCAGAGGTTGGTAGGACTGTCTGAATGCTCTCCAAAGTATTTTGGCAAAAAGGAGGGCGATCAGATTCAGGGCTGCAACACTCCAGCCAGACACTGGAGGGCAGGAAAGTACTTTTATTTTTCCTATCGGCGGGCTGCTGCCACCTGGTGATCACCTGCATTGTTGCAGCCCAGTTTTCATAGCTCTAGCAAAAGGCCTTTCCCAGTTTTACCCTCTTGAGGATGGGGTGTGGCCCCTCCATCATGCACTAGAGGACAGCGGCCCCGACTTTGGAATAGCAAAGACCAGCCTGGGAGGATCAAGATTGTAACTCCTCAATTTTGGGGGCCTTATTTCTATCTCCGTCCTAAGCCTTAATTTACACCTCTCCTAATCTTCTTAGCTCTATAACAATTGTTTTCCTAATAGGTCAGTCTGTTCAGGTCTCATTCTAGATAGAAATATTGAATACAATAGCTTAAAATGTTGCAGTTGTTATTGCAGTCTCCTATATATACCTTTACAATCTCCTATATATACCTGTACACACCCATTCTTTTTCTTTAATGCTTTTGTTTGGGCCATTGTTTATTTTTCTTTATAGCTCAGTATTTTTTATTGTTTACCTTTTCATTTGGCCTATCTCTGGCTTTTTCTGGCCTGACCTCGTGTGGGCTGGGCGGAATTAGCCTGGAAAAAGTTGGGATGAATCTAGGGAGCGCGGTTGCATTTCCATAATCGTATTGATTCATTAGTCCCTTCATGAATCTGACCTGGTGAATCACTCTAAGGAGCATCTCCTGAAACTGAAATGTCTTTTTGCAAACCTGGGAATCTGAGCCTGTTCCCCCGTTGTCCCGTCGCTCAGTTGCGCCCTGTCCAGCGTGGCTCCCGTTTCTAACCCCATTTTTCTCTTCTCTGTTCCCCAGGCAGTAGATTGGATGAAGGATCTGATGTTGAATCCGAACCTGACCTTCCCCTGAAGCGCAAACAGCGTCGGAGCCGGACAACTTTCACGGCGGAGCAACTGGAAGAGTTGGAAAAGGCGTTCGAAAGGACCCATTATCCAGATATTTACACCCGGGAAGAGCTAGCTCAGAGGACGAAGCTCACAGAGGCACGAGTCCAGGTCAGCAAAGCCGTCTGTAGGAGGAGGAAGAGGGGGGAAAGATGTGGGAAAATGCATGGGATGGGGTGCCAAGGATGAGCTAAGAAAAGGAATCTCCCATCGCTTGTTTGGGAGACTCTCTGCAGTCTGGAATCGCCCCAGATTTAACTCCTCTTAAAAATTGAGGAGAAGCACCGTTTCTCCTCGCCTTGTTGTGGGTGAAGAAATTGTCCCCTTCTTTTCTCGGTTGCAGGGTGCAAGCTGTTTCTCTTCCTCCGCCAACCTACTGAGAATTTATTTTAAAAATAAAGCAAAACAGAGGCTCGCGGAGAAGGCCAGAGGGAGGGGAAGAACTCGGTCAACACGGTGCAATTTAAGAGCCCCCGAAACAGTTTGGCCGATAAACCTCAGGTCCCCTTTGTGTGTGCAAACACACCCCAGATGATGGTGGTGAAGCAGGCCAGAGAGGCTGCCAGGGAATTTGTGCATAATGAGACCTTGGCATTTCTGCCAAGAGTTGCTGGGAGTCGGGCATCGTATCAGTTTAATTCATCCTCGTCGTCTCACGGGTTTTTGGGTGGAGAAAGCTTACTTTCTGCACTCTTGTGGGAAGGCTCTGCAGGGCCAGAGATATATTCCAGGGCTTGAGGAAGCAGCAACCTCCAGGGTTTTTAATTTTAATGGTGCATTGGCACGTACAGAGTTCTGCAGTACTGTGCGCCTAAACAGCGCCGCCCTTGGTCTCTTAATGGAGTTGGGGATACTTTGGGCTGGTAATCAGCGCACAAATGCAGTATCCTCACACTGGAGGAAGGTTGGTGGCCAGCAGGCAGATGGCAGGAGATGTTTTAGCAGTGGCAGGATCCTTCTGTCCGAAGCGTTTTGGTGTCCCCATGGCACGGTGAACGGGAGATTTACCTCCAGGACTGGAAGCTGTAATTTCCAGACTTCCTTCTCTTCCCCGGCGTTGTGCTCACTCCTCTTTGCCAGCCTACTTCCAGCAGCTGTTCCTCTCCTTGCATTTCTCATGATTTTCTCATTCCACCCTTCTGGCACCGTCAGCTTCTTCCCACCACTTTTAAGCCTGCGCACCCCCTGCCCCCTTCAAAATTTTCTGGGTATTAAAGAGGATCTTTTTACTGGCTCTTGAGATGCCCTTGATGGCAGAATGGAAAAGCACGGGGCCAAAACCATGTTTTGGTTCCACTGTTCTTCCTTTTTTTTCTTCTTCTTAATGTGTCCTGCAGACACCAGCCTCATCTTGCAGAAAACAACCAGTTTAAACCAATGGAAAACTAGCTGGAGGCAGGTTGATCCTTTAAGTTCTTCTTCAAAACTTGGAGCTTTGTTCAGATTTAAACATCGAACTTCCCAATGGATGAGTAAGACATGACTGTAGGATGGGAATGGGAGGTGTAAATTCGCTTCTTGTTGGGCCCATTCCCCTCCCCAAGCCGTGAGAAGTTTCAAGAGACTATGTTCTGGTTTCTCCAGGACCTAGGTTCCTTCAGCTGTTGTTTGACTACAATACCCAGTAGCCCCAGCCACCCTACTAGTTTAGGACAAGGCAATGCCTTCCCCTGAGTCAGGGGAATAAATTCCCTTTGTCTATCAAGGTATCTTCTCGGCGGGTTGAATTTTAACCCCCTTCATACACCTCTCTTGATTGCTTTTTGGATCTCTACCTTTCAGGCGCGTTAATATTATCGGGGGAAGCAGTTTCAGACCAAATACCATTTAGTTAGGAGCAGGCTGGGTGTGTGCATAGCCTTTTCCCAAGATAAACACAAACTAAACTCTGTTTTTTGGCTTACGGAAGGGCAAGTTGGCTGAAATTGAGAACAGGGTCAAGCGATCCACGGAGCTTTGAAATGACTGTGCTAGAAGCTGAAGGTTTCACTCCTATATGGTTCTAGGAGACCGCAGGAATTCAAGGGTGTAGAGTTTGGAAGATGACCTTGAAGGAAATATGGAGGAATTATTACTTAGGCCAAAAGGGTTGAACCATTTTTAAATCCAAAACAACGAGATAACATTCAGAAGAGGCAGACCCCTCCCTACTTCCTGAAGGCCAACACAATCAGCCTTGCATGATATCGTAGCCCACCTCAATGAAAGTAGTAGAGTTGATGTCCTGGTCTGGTCTACCTGATCCCACACCTCTGGACGGAGCTCTCCTTGCCCTGTTTCCACCTGGTCCTTGCCTTCCCACCCACCTTCCACCCACATCAACTCCTGGATGGAGATTCCTCTCGGCACCTCGTTTGACAGATTGTGGGAGCTGACCCAGAGCTGGTCTAATTTACTCCAGCTTCAACCCAACCGGGAAGCATTTACGCAGCTGCTGTGCTGGAAGGAAAGGGAAACAACTGCACGCTTTCCAAATATTGTCACACATAACATTTATCTTTCCTGCACTTGGATAAAATCGACTAGCTTCCCCACGTGGGTGAATGTGTGCGTTCTGATTAAGTATGTTGCATTCCAGAGCAATGTATGCATTGTGTCATGCATAAGACACATAGAAGGCAGCTTTTTTAGGCCTCTGCTTCAGTGTTAGATTGCAACTCCGTAATTCCTAGAGAAGAATTGGCCATGTTTACTGGGATATATGGAAAGAGCAACCCAACATATCTGGAAGCTTGCGCAAAGAATGAGTCAATTCCAGTGTCCAGCTGGATGCATTTGCTCAAGAAACAGTTCGGTGGTGAATTGCTCTTAAAATAACACGAAGCACAATGTTTGTTAGATAGGGGATGAGTTACTTGGGGTTTGGATCCTAAAGAAGAAGAAAAACAAGTAGGCCTCCTTGAGTCAATCTTGACCTTGACCACCTTCTTAATGACGACGGGTTGATTTCACCAACTCTTTTCAACTTGGATGGGTGGCTTTCAAGAGGAGCAGATGTAGAGAAGTGCAAAATTTGTTTCCTACAGCCCTCCTTCTTCCCTTCTTTGTAGCAAGGAGAAATTTGGGGTTGTCATGCTCAGCTGGTCAGTTTTCAGTCCTAGGACAGGGACAGTGTCTTTATTTAAAAAAAAAAAAATCTTCATTTAATGACTTCTGTCTGCTCAGCCGAGGACTTTCCCGTCTGTTCCATCCCTGGCAGATGGCAGAATCAGAAATCAGGAAAAATGGAAGCAGTGGGGTGGCTTTAAAAGTTGAAGGAACTGGGTGTGCTTGGAAAAGCTTGGAAAAGAGATGACTCATGTATCTGGGGCTGTTCAGATGCCTTCAGAGGGACATTGTCTGGAGAAGAGGGCAACACTTTATGGACGTTGGTGGAATGTTGGGAGAAGCTTTGAGATGGTGGTAGCTGGCTAAAACTAAGCGAAACTCTTGCTCCTGGTCACCTTGAACAGATGCTACATAAATGTTCAACCTTCTGAGTTCTTCTGCACTCGGCAAAAGGTTGGAATAAATGACCTCTGGAAGTCCCTTTAACTAGGCGATGCTGTGAGTTAATGGGGTGTTTTTCTTCTGTCGATTTGCAACTGGGTTCCTTTACCAGCATTTTAGATTTGCGGTGGGCGTATCTTTCCTCCCAAGATGCAGGAACGTTCAAAGAGTAGGGTTGATCTGATCTGGTCAGATGGTTCCCATCGTCAACTCACGGTGGCTTACAGCAAAATAAAGGAAATAAAGCCACTACATTATCGGCAGAGTTGTGCCTCTCCATCGCAAATGGTGTGGGGAGTAAACGAGGGGTCTGTTTTCAATTTTAAAAATATGGGGGTGGGGCTTAGAGAGGGGGTGGAGCTAAGGACTTGCCCTACCATTAGGCAGAAGGATGTGACAAGGGGGTGGCTTTTTGGGGTACTTTTTTGGGGTCGGGCTGGTTTTTTGGGGTGACAGCAACGTGACCGTGTTCGCACGCTGCTCTGCTCTACTTCCCTTAGGGTGGGTTAGGACCCTCAATCATGTTGAATAAAGGCTGATCCAAAGCAAACCTTGGGATCAGTGTGAAAATTCAGCATAGTGGTGGTGGCTTTCCTGTGCTGGTGGAGGACGATGGGAGCTGGAGTCCGAACACTTGGAAGGCTCTGCTTGGGGATGGCTGAATGCTGTGGCTGAATGCTCCCACCAAGGACCGGCCTTCAGCCATCTTGACCATCAACCAATCAAATCTTTATTTTGGTCAAGGACCAGCGGAGATCCTGACCACGAAGACTTCAACGGGGGACCCCGGCGTTTAGAAAGGGGAGCATTTCTGTGGGGTGGGAGCCGGGCTGCCTCCCAACTGCTGACTCGTGCCCCACTTCCTGCTTCTCCTTGGGCTCGGTGTGCCTGAAGCCATGGGTCTCCATCCCGAGATGAGCCATCTATTTATTTTTTGCAACCCAATCCCCATGGCAGGAGACTCTTTTAGCAGCTGATAAAACCTTAGCGGTGATGGAGCGAAAACAGCTTTTCTTTGAAGTGGGTCTTGCATTACCCTTTCCGCTCCTGCCTGTATATTTTATCCGCCCATAAAATGATTTATAAGCATTAAAAGAGAGAGAGAGGGAGGCGTCCGTCAGCTACCGTTCAGAGAATGGGCAAGGGAGAAATATGGCTGGTAGGAACCGCTGGCTGTGTTTTAAATCAGCTGCAGCTTCTTCCAGCAGCCCCCCTCCCCATAAGTAACGGCTGGGTGGTAGGCGGTGAATCCATCTTGGTGGCTCCCCAATTTCCCTTTCTGGGTCAGAAGAACAGCAACAATTGAGCTGGAGAAGAAGCTTTTAAAAATGGCAGGAGACGCCCCTGGGAGGCAGGTCCTTCTGATGGATATGGGTTGTGGCATGCCAAATGGAGCCTCCATGGACAGGGGCAGTAGAGCTTTGAGGGCAGGAAGCAGCCAGGAAAACTCTTAATTTCATTATTCCTAGATAAGCTTCCTGCACTGATGGTCCCTGGAGACAGAATAATAGGCACAGTTTTTATTCTTAAGTTATAGAGGCAGTCCTCACTTAACAACCACCATTGGGACCGCAACATGGTTGTTAAGCGAGACCTCACGTGACCGCGACTTGTGATTTCACTGCCGGCTTCTCCATTGACTCTGCTTATCAGAAGCTGGCTGCGAAGTGTGCAAATGGCAACCATGTGACCGCGAGAGTCAAAGTGAGAAGACTGGTCATAAAGTTACTTTTTCAGCACCGTCGTAACTTGGAATGGTCGCTCAACAGGGCAGTCACTAAACAAGGATTGTCCATATATGAGCTCAGAGTTTGAAGATGCAGGGGTAGGAAGAGAAGAGCGCTGAATGTTTTCAGGACACCCATCCAGAGGACAGTGGCGCCCTCCTGTTCTTTGCCCCCAGCAGCTGGTATTCAGAGATACACTCTGCCTGAACAGGGAGGTTCTGATCTCAGTCGACCTAACTTGATTGGGAAAGCTTCTTGTGCTACTGTGTGCAAAACCCTCTGCCCAGGTTGGGGGTCGATCCGCCCCCTTTGGCTCTCGGCACAGGCCAGTTTCCACGGGTGAAGGAGAGGCGAGGCGCCCTCGTAAACGCCAGTAACCCCACCCCAGTCTGTCCTCCTGACATCTTTGTGTGGGAAGAAGCAGGATATCCCCCAGGGGCCAAATATAAGATAGCATTTTAAATTAATGCCGTCATTCTCCATCCAGCAACGAAGCAACTGCAGATGTGGAAAGCCGTCGGCCGCACCTGCCTTTTCCGTTACATGTCAGCCTGTGCAAAAAAAAAGAAGAAAGAAAGAAAGAAAGAAAGAAAGAAAGAAAGAAAGAAAGAAAGAAAGGAAATCCCAAAATCTAATATCCATGGGAAATCTTTGCCCCAGGAAATCCATGGGAAATCTTTGCCCCAGGAAATCCATGGGAAATCTTTGCCCCAGGAAATCCATGGGAAATCTTTGCCCCAGGAAAACTGGGGAAAGAAATCTCTCGTGTCCTGTGCCGATGAAGAGATCGGGGTCTCGAAACCTCTTGCGAATACAAGCCCAGGACGCAGGGATAAAAAAGTGATTTTGCACTCTTTTTCCCCCCAGTTCTCCTTCAGCAAAACAGAGGGGCAGGTTTTACGTGCCAGTCCCCAGCTTGGCAATTTCCCTCGCTTTGCAACTCCTGGAGTTTTTTCCCCCCGTTAGTTTTTCTCCCCCTAAAGCCCCAGTTGCTATGAAATTTAATCACGTTGCTCAGTCTTTGAGGCCTTGGCGATCTTAAGCAGCTGCTTAACTCAACTCTCCTAAAAGTTAAGCTGCCCATTTCTCATCTCATTTCCCACC